ATTGCATTAGGGGCCACTAAGACGACGGCGTTCTCTCTAAACAGACTTTAAACGCGAACCTGTGACCTGATGGCATTCACATGCGCATTAAAAATTGATTCTATAGTTATATTCGTTTGAATATGTGTGCGCAGGTTTGTAATATCCCAACAAACCATGCCTAAACAAACTACTTGTCTTGCCTATAAATTTGATACAGAATTTTATTTTATCACTTCGAGGTACGCGAACCGGATTTTCAACAACGCTTTATCTGTAGAGTGACTTGGTATCGAAACAATAATTTTGGTATCGTGACAACACTACAACAAATAATATCGTTTACATGTAGCACGTCAATTCTGCTTGGTATGTAAGACTCTCTCTCTTTGAGTGTGTGAGAAACGCCTCACAGTAAAGCGACAGCGAGTCGGGCGCCTCACACTAGTGTTTACTGTGCTTCAAATACACTGTGCATTGTGTCATTGAGATGAACTGAAATATTGGGCTTTATCGATCGCTTGACGGAGAGCGAACTCTCAAGCGCTCAGTCAGTGTTCAGTGAGACGGGTGAGTGAAAATATATCCGTGTGTAGTGTACCAGTTCCAGATTGTAGAGGTAGTTCCTCGTTTAGTGATAAACTCCTCCTCACCTTTCACGTGAGCTGCGAATGAGTCCCGTCATCAACTAGGCTTTATCGTTATTATCGCTGGAATACTAACGCTTATCGTGAGGAGAATTATATCGCAAACGATAATATAGTGAACATGCTTGAGCTTCCGTTTACCACAAGTGATGTGGGACTTTATGAATGTTTATATGTGAATAAAAGCCTAAATTCAATCTGGTTGTCATATAAAACAATTGAGTCTCTTCAGAAAATTTGGATTAAACCACTCTATCCAGATGTCAATGGAGGGACAGAAAGCTCTCGGATTTCATCAAAAATATCTTTATTTGTGTTCCGAAGATGAACGAAAGTCTTACAGGTTTGGAATGATAAAAGGGTGAACTATCCTTTTAACACATCTCATTCTCTCCACTCAGCTCATTTTAATCTGTTACAGATGAACTTGTGAAACACTATCTTGCAGGTATAGTCGATGTAAATAAAAACTCTTAGATGTTTTCTTTTATGTTTCAAGGGATTCGATGAGTACATGAACTTGGTTTTGGATGATGCAGAGGAGGTCCACATGAAGACCAAGAACAGGAAACCCCTGGGTAAGTGTGAATTGTGTGACTGTGGCGAGTTGTGCTTTTCAGAGAAATAAAGTTCGCTTGAAGCAAGATAAGATTTGAAAAAAATATTTTTTTTTCTCCAATAGGACGCGTTATGTTGAAAGGAGACAACATCACATTGCTGCAGAGTGTGGCCATTTGATCTTCTGTTAGGAGTTCATCTGGATATCACTTGTTTGCTGTTAGATTGTTGGTTTTACTTTGTTTTCATTTGTCAATATTTGTATTGTTGACCCATGCTTACAATTGTGGAAACATTTGTTTTTCTAATTTTCCCAAAATAAACCTTTTCTTTTCTCTATTTCAGACTATTTTTTTTTATTAAAATATATTTATAATATTGAGGTTTGGTCTACCATATAAAGTCAAGTTTCTCTCTGAAAATTCGTATAATATGCTCTTTTCACCATTAGCATATGTTCATCAGGTTGAAATGTATTCCTTTCAAAAGTTTGGGGTCGGTAAGAATTATATTTTTAAAGTCTCTTATGCTCACCAAGGCTGTATTGATTTGATCAATAGTGATCAATCGCATCATTACTCCAGTCTTCAGTCACATTATCCTTTCAGAAATCATTAAAATATGCTGATTTGCTGCTCAATAAACATTTTTGGTTATCAAAGTTTGTTGAAAAGTTGTGCCTAATATATTTGTGGATTTCAAGATTTGATGAATAAAGTTCAAAACAACAGCATTTATTTTAAATAGAAAAGTTTTGTAACAAACGTCACTTTTGTTCAGTTTAATGCACGCTTGCTGGAAAAAAAAGGATTAATTTCTTATTTTTTTCAACATCTGACCCCAGACCTTTGAACTGTAGTGTTTTTCTGGACTCAAGCAGGACTGCTCATGGACATGGTTCTATGTTACTTATATTATTTAAAAACACATCAATTTTAATAGTTGTTGGAAGTAATATTTGTTGCTTTTAAAGAAGTGCAAAGTCCCATTTGACTCCTGTCTGCAGTTTACCATGTAACCACTAGAGGGCAGTACATCACGTTTGTCTCAGTCTGGACTGATTTTTAATTACTTGTGCCCTTTTATACACCTTTTTAAAAATGAAGAATTTTTGTTGTACTTTTTTTTTTTTTTTTTTTGCTTTTTATTAGTAGATTACTTTAGATGTGCTTAGTGTTTATGTTCAAATGTCGAAGTGAGCACAGTATTGTAGGCCCTAAGTGCATTTTACTCACACTGCCAATGATACAAGCTGCAATACCTGACCTTTCAAATTTAAAAGTTCATTTTGGTCACAAATGTTACTTGTGGGATTAAATGGGTTAACAGAGGCTTTTAACCAAAACAGCTAGCTGTTAAAAGTACACAGCAGGTGATTTATTAGAGTAAGATAGCCTATAGAAAAGCTGTAGGCCTATAGCTTGTTTCCGCCACTGCGTAACAAATAAAAAAGGTAGCCTGTAGGCTAATTGACACTTTTTATCTCGCAATTCTGTCTTTTTGTAAGATATGAAGTGCAAAAAAAAAATCTGAATTGTGAGATAAAGCCTCGCAGTTACCTTTTGTAAAAAAAAAAAAAAAAGTTTTAATTCTGTGGCCCTAATACGTTCCAAAGATAACTTGCTGAGAAGTTTGATATTTGTTGGTCCTTTTATTTGTGGCTAAACAAATTATTTAATACAATATTCCTCACTATATTGCTTTTCAAGGTTCTAAACAACTAGACTATAAAAAATAAATCAAATAAAAACAGCAATGTTTAAAACAATTACAACACAGTTGCAGTTATAAAGTAGAAGGCTATGATATGTGCAGCAAAGCCATGTTTAATCCGTAATGATTGTTCAAGCGATAAATTATACATTTGCATAGTTCTTTATCTAAACGCTGTTGTGTTGCAGTAGACTATAGTTTCAAATCCCCCGTTTTGTGTTTGCCTCCCTCGAAAAATACAATAGCTAATTTTAAGCTTACAGCTTTAGATTTCAATAACGGTTTTCTTCCTTAAGGGGAAGTTTGATAAAAATCTGGAAATATGAAAACAGCATCAAGTCAGCAGTGCTCAGATAGGTCTGTCAGAGAGCAGGAGAGCTGTACTTTGAAATCTGAGGCAGTGGTTGGTGAGCACTATAGATAGGGACTCTCTGCCAAACCTGTGGAGGAAGCGGTATCTAAATCACGAGTAAGAGCTTTGCGTGTCTCAGAGCCGGAGAACCAGATGCAGCCGTGAAGCTCATCGGGAGGAAGTCAGTTGCTGACTCCAGAGAGTTTAAGCTCACTTCATAACTGCGACCACACGCTTTTAGTCGTTCACTGTGGGTTCAACCACAGTAATGTTGCATAAAGTCAATCCCCCCTTGTGAATAGGTGCATCTTCGCTGGGGGCTTTTAAAGGTATAGCCCTACATGCTCACAATTGGCTTTATGCACAGCTGCACTACTTCCTGAACTTTAGCCAGCTCCTTTGTTTCCTGTCTGCCATTATTGGACAAACTGATTAATCCAGGTGTGCCTGATTATTGTTACTGAGGCCAGGCACACCTGGATTGATCAGTTTGTCCAATAATGGCAGACAGGAAACAAAGGAGCTGGCTAAAATTCAGGAAGTAGTGAAGCTGTGCATAAAGCCTATTGCGCGAGTTGAGGTATTTATTTGCTTTCTTTTTCATATGAAATTGAAAGTGTCCAGAATTCCCCAAACTGTGCAAAATCTTAAAGTGTTAGTTCAGCAAAAAAAAAATGAAAATTCTGTCATCATTTAGGCCTATTCACCCTCATGTTGTTCCAAACCTGCAAGACTTTCGTTCATCTTCGGAACACAAATTAAGATCTTTTTTATGTCCTTCCATTGACAGCTATGCAACTGCCACTTTGAAAAGTTCATAAAGAGATCATAAAACTAATCCATATGAAGTGAGCGGTTTAGTCCAAATTTACTGATGAGACACAATTTCAGGTTTGGAAGACATGAGGGTGAATAGGCCTAAACGATGACAGAAGTTTCATTTTTGGGTGAATTAACCCTTTATTACACACTCATGGTCTTATTGCAAACGATTCATTGGTGCACAGTCTATATATGGTGCAACAGGGAAAAAACTTGATTTTGCTCATCAAAATAATAACTTGTTTTTATTGAATGACTTTCCTTTTCAGCGGATGTCTTAGGCCTTTTCACAATCCAATCAAATCCCAATGGATATAAATACAACCCTACTTTTTGTTCTTGATTGGAATTGCATAGGCCTAGTCTTAATTCATCTGCATTATAGTGTGTGTATAGTGTGCACAGTTTGTGAATTTTTGGTGTATATGAAAAAATTTAAACAGATATTTTTAAAGCTTGTTACCATGGCAAACTTTATTTCTTTTAGTTTAACTTGACGTACTAAAATGATTAAGAATTAAATATAAAAAAAAATATATATATATATATATATATATATATTTAATAGTCAAAATGACTAAAACTTCAACTTAAATTAAAATTGAATATATATATATATATATATATATATATATATATATATATATATATATATATATAATCTAATTCAAACTCAAGTATTAAAAAATATATAACAATATCTAAAATAGTGCAGTACACAAAAAGGCCAGCGTGGCAAAGAATACTGTATCCCCCAATCCAATGTGCTAGATTTCCAGAGTGACACATACAATTATTTTTCCTTTTCGTCAATTTCTTGATCTCTAGAGATGATGTGCCCACTGTGGTTTTCCGGTCATACTCTTCCAAGCACACTTCAACACTTAATGACACACAGTTTCCTTATATTATGCAAATCCCATCCTACAGTAAAAACCAGAACTTCCTTTCCTCTCACCCCAGGCAAAAAACCAAATAAGACAGTCCGTTTCTGCCGTGACCATCCGGCTATGGGAAACCAAGCAAAGGCTTTGCAGGCGGGTCGACCCTTGCTGGGTTTAGCCGTCGGAAACACTGCCCAGGTCAGATTGCCATCCGGGAGCTCCCGAGGGGCCTTCCTGTTCCTGCGGGAGTGATTGTTGTGAGCGTGTCCTTTGTTCTCCCTTCCCCCGATCTGACCTGTCTCCTACCTCGGCTCCGTCCAGACAGGTTCAGTCTGTATGCTTTCATTGCCCTCAACATCCATCGCCATCAATCCCTGATGTCTGGTTCACTCACATGTTCGTGCACTGATGTTGTTTTTGTTCACTGTAAGGATAGTGTCTGCGTGCGTATCCAAACAGGAGATGCTTTCACATTAAAAAGTGATTTTAAAAAGACTTTGGGTAATTTATCTGACTGCCATCCTCTCTGTCTAGAAAGAGTGATGGCCTGTTTGTTTTCATTGTTCTGAACCGAGGATGAAAATACTTCATGTAAAGACTCAAATAGCTCAAACAAGAATCGTAAACCTGAGAAAGTGGATTCTCTGTAAATTAATCTTTTGTAATTAAAACAAAAACAAAAAATATGTATGAGAAATGGCACTTATATTTCTGAAAAACCTGTTTCCGTTTCAAGGTAATGATTTGATAAGGCCGGAGATCAGTTATTGAAATAATTAAGTGAACTAAAGAACTTGACAAAATAAAGACAAGATATAAAAGACAAAAAAATATAAATAATAATACTTTTATTAATATGTATTATATAATGTAAACCCCCAGAAATATGTGTCACGGTCAGTAAGTCTCTTAAAAATATTAGATTTTTTTTTTTACTTCATACCAAGTAAAGATATATTTTATTACTTTAAATTAATCAAAACATTTGTTGAAAATTAGAACAATTTATTTTTAATAACTTCATATATTATTTTAAAACATATTTCATAATCCTATTTATCAAAGACTTGTAGGTTGTTGAAGTATAACCTTCAGAAAAAAAAAAAAAAAAAAAAACCTTCCTCGTTATATGGGCAACAAAAAAAAAAACCCCGCTGCAAATGCTGTTTACACGAAGGTGACACTCCACCAAAGCATTCTCTGAGCGCACAGGCAGTGACCTGTGAACATGTTGCTTATCTTGTTTTAACAGTCTGGTCGTAATGCATAATACCTCCAGTTTTCTCCTATTAACACATACAATAATATGCAAGTCCGATAAGGGCTTTTGTTTCTCATTTTCACCCAAGGAAACATTTGTAGCATTTTTCATTGTGACTCACTTTGGCTGAAATGAACATGGAACCATTGGGCAAAGGTCCAGACTCTGAGTGTAAGAGAAAAAGGGTCCAAATCAGGCTAGGCTTTGTGCAAATAAATAATGAACAAGCTTTGGACATTTTGATGTATCATCATCATCAGTGATGTAAGAGGGCATCAAGGGACTGCTGGTGAATGGGTGAAGTTTG